CCGTAGTTGTTTAGTTTTTTTTAAATTTTGGCTATCTTGGTTATGAGAAATTTCTGTCTTTGTTCTTTTTGTCTTCCACTTCACAGTAGAATTTCGGTGATCAGTATTGACAGGTGTTCCATCTTCAAGGACATCAAATTCACAAGAGAATAGGAATTAATTTTTAAACGTCTTAGTCAGGCGAACAGCCACAGGAAAAATTAGAAACTCAAGTTTGAGGAAAGCCCACTCACACAGATCAAATACTTTATTACAACAGCAAAAGACCAATAACAAACAAAAAGATTTATATACAAACACTATTCAGCATCACTAGGACTCATTGCAGCACTCCTACCTTAGTGTAAATTGATGAAAAATATGTTATGGAAGTCTCCCAAAAAGCGGATATCCACGAAACTTCATCAAAATATTTCTATTCCCAACGTAACTGACCATATCAAGGTTCCCCAATGAAAACACAAAGAAAATGGTCTCACCATTTATACAGAATGTCTCAGAAATCACTGCAAGACTATTAAAACCTTTAGGAATTTATGTCGCACATAAACCAACAAAAGCACTTCACTGACTTCTATATTCACCAAAAGACTCAGCTCTGGAAGAAGATGAAACAACACCATCTGAAAAATAAATAACAACAATTGCGAAAAACCCTACATAAGCCAAAGTGGACGCCCTCTTCGTCTTCGCATTCATGAACATAATCTGGCCGCCAAAAGGCATGATATGTCCTCCTTTATATTTCTTCATACAGACAACCAAAGATATCAATTCGACTAGGGCAACGTTTAAATATCGGACAAATGAAATACCAAGAAAACGCCAGGGAGTTTTTGCTAGTCTGGCATTCAAGTGAATCGGAAAATAATAGACAAATTGCAGTAAACGAGATTTACCAATCCACAAGAAGTAAATCTCATGCGCAAAAAGTTAAACTTCAGGTCACACAGACAAGCAATACCAATACAAGTGGACTATATGGTGTGAAAACACACAAAAGCAGCCAATCGTTCCACATTAGTTTGTTTATTAGATGTATCACACAGTTAAACAGTATTACTCACTGAATGACGTTTCGAACAAAGTTTATTGTTCATAATCATATCAATTATAATCACACGACTTCAAAACTTGAGTTTTATAGTTTTCTTTGTTCTCTCCTATTTGTCGTAGAGGTATTAGAATTTTCCAGATGTCCGAATGGAGAGGTGTTGAATCATTCCTATTACATTTGTTTGCAGTTCATTCGATAAACAGCGCTTCTGTTATCAATCTCTCTTTTAACCCTGTTACATTGGATTTTAAAACTGTCATCTTATCCCATCCTATTGTATGGTTGTGTGTAACTGCATGCAGTGCTATAGCTGAACTATTCTCTACATTTCTTATCTTATTCGGGTCAAACAATCTAGATTTTGCTAGGCTTTTATGCTCGGTTAGTCTGACTGCCCCTGTTCTACTACTTTGACCTATGTATTTGACCTGACAATCATTGCAGGCAGGGTACTAGATAAACTGAATTGTTCTGTTTTAAAGGCTCCACAGGATCCTTTAATCGACAAAGCTTATTTCTAATTGAGTTTGTAGTTGGTTTGAATGCCACTTTTATTCTTGCATTGTTAAGAATTCTGAGTAAGGTTTCCAAGGTTCCTTCTTTTCTTGGATGATGATTTAGATTCCTTATTTTTGTTGCTGTCATTATTCTGCGCATGTTTGACATGCATGTCGTCATTAAGATTATTATTATCAATATCACTACTATCAATATTTATTTTATTTTTACATTTCCCTATATACTTTCTGACTATTTACCAGGGTAATTATTAAGTTTCAAAGCTTTTCTTATATGCCTTACTTCCTCTCTTAGATTTTCCTTGGTACTACTCAGCTTTTGTGCTCTGTTACTTAAATATTTCACCGATCCTATTTTCACTGACATGGGATGGAATGATCTGAAGTCCAAATATCTGTTTGAAAGCAACTCAAAATCTAGACTAACCAATTCTTATGAACTAAAACATAGATTAGATAATTAAAAAATTAGACAATGAAGAAAAAATGGTTCATTTTGACATTGCCAGTTTATCTAACACTCTGCCTGCAATGATTGTCAGGTCAAATACATAGGTCAAAGTAGTAGAACAGGGGCAGTCAGACTAACCGAGCATAAAAGCCTAGCAAAATCTAGATTGTTTGACCCGAATAAGATAAGAAATGTAGAGAATAGTTCAGCTATAGCACTGCATGCAGTTACACACAACCATACAATAGGATGGGATAAGATGACAGTTTTAAAATCCAATGTAACAGGGTTAAAAGAGAGATTGATAACAGAAGCGCTGTTTATCGAATGAACTGCAAACAAATGTAATAGGAATGATTCAACACCTCTCCATTCGGACATCTGGAAAATTCTAATACCTCTACGACAAATAGGAGAGAACAAAGAAAACTATAAAACTCAAGTTTTGAAGTCGTGTGATTATAATTGATATGATTATGAACAATAAACTTTGTTCGAAACGTCATTCAGTGAGTAATACTGTTTAACTGTGTGATACATCTAATAAACAAACTAATATGGAATTACTTACTACCACAGTGCCCAAGTTTTACACATATATCACCGGCCGATCATGTTCAGGGTTACCAGGAGGGATGACTGATAAACTTATGGAGATGTTTCGAAGCTCGCTTCAAACTGGAGTATGTGCTGAGGATGTTGCTTAGTAAGACCATGGAGGCTTCACAGGTAGACCATCTAGCTCACAGAACACAACTACTGTAAAACCGGTATTGTTACCGCCCCACTATGAATGCCATCTTACCTTTGTCGCCTTGTTTTATTGGTGTTTGCCGGTATTCCTGCCAGAGTTCTAGCACAGTAAACAGGTTTGAACTTTTTAGACGATCCAGAGTTTCCCCTACAGTTGGCATGAGACAATACCGCATTTCTTTTATGATTTTGAGCTTTTGGAATTCAACACAGAGTCTTTACTTCTTATTTGCTTTTATCGCCGAGAAGACTAGAAGGTTAGGCAGGTTCTCACCTTTGACGATTATACGACATCTACCTTTATATAAGCGGTGCCATCTGCTTTATCCCGAGGGTGTTAGTGTGTTTCTATAAATAGGCAAATTATACTACGATAGTTTCATGAAAATGCGAAAATATACGCTTAACTTTCGAACCTACTGACTGATTTTGTCAATTACGAAGAGCAGATATCACTATCAAATGACATTTTCTGAAACAAATTGCAGCAAAGTTAACGGTGTTTATGTACATTACACCGCCAATATTACGTACGTCAGAAAAACATCTTCTGATGGAAAATTTCACTTAAAAATCACAGAAATAATGCAACTTGTGATTTAACTACCACAGTATTGTTCCATTATGGGTACATTTTGTTTTGATAAAGTCTCACAGTGTTATACAGTAATGTTTACTGTTTTATTCTTATATCGATGATACCACAGTATTGGACTTCAATTCTACATTCAGTAATTCTACATGCAATAAAGCCACTAGTCAGCTTCTTCATTAATAGAATTCTTTAACATCTCTTTTACTTTTCACTAACCTTCTTCTAATTTACGTGGGAATTCCCTAATTGTGAATGTTGTCATTTTCCAACCAGTCACTGGGATTTCACTCTTCATCGTATTAAAATAACCGTAAGGGTCTTCATCCATCTGCTCTGAACAGATGATCGCGTTCTCCAATTAGCATTGCTATCTTCGTTGTTTGTCGCACTTTCATCCCTGCTATCTTGTTGACTTCATGAATGCTGATAGATTTACACTTTGTAATCACAACTCGATCCTGCTTTTGATAACCGCACTAAGCTCTCACAGTCCCAAGTATTTTTAGTCGTAATTGAGACGTAACAGTGAAGGGGAAAGTTAATTTGTGATCCCAATATGAACGTTTCAGTTTGCCATTTTTGTGGTATTTAATGTGTCCGCTCACCAATTGAACTGTCAATGAACGTAGTCTGACGCTTTGACATAGATTCTAATCTATTAGAGAGACTGCCACCCCTGTACCTACAAGGCAGACCACTTCTTGACCATTCACTTGCAACTTATAAATGACCTCCCTCATAATTTGCTTTCACTGCTTCCAGTAAATCCTGGAGTGAGAATACACACTGTAGCCTTTAAAAATTAACCTAATCCGATTTATTGGGCAGTATTTTTTTACAGTTTACTGATTTTTCAAGTGCGAAACACCGATCACTTTTGGTGCTCATTAGTAGCGCTGCCTCTTCGGGCTGCAAATCTTAGGTATTTTGTTACCACTGGTTAGATTTTCGTAGCTCTATGGCTACTCTAATGCACACTAGCTCTCTTGTTACCTTCGCAGGCCCACCAATGTTCATTGGTTGTGCAGCGTTTACCACTTGTGGTTACTGAGAAATGTGTTCTGGAACAGTAGCACTGCCATATTGATGAAATGTTTGGCGATGGCACTATTGTAAGCGTTTGTTCCTTTGAGACATAGGCTTTTTGGAACATGTTCGGAAAATCAGAGATGTGCCATTCTTTGCAGCCTCCTGTCAAATGACATCAGGCAACATTTGCAAGCTTTACGTAGCTGATGAGCAGCCAAGGAAATAAATGAAGGTATCATCTTATTCTGCATAAACATTTGCCGTTGATTTATTGAGAATACAGTACTGACACACACACACACCTATGACTATTGTATCTACCCAAAGGTTTCAGTTTACGAGCAAACTGCGTCAAGGTACACCACATGATGCCTGATTTCAACTAAAACAACTAGTGATATATATGTACTAACAAGAAACTCATCATACGTTTCTTTTAGGCAACAATAACATCAAACTAACAAGTGTTATGCAATTTGCAATCTTACGTGAAATTAACTTAAAGTAATCACTTTTGATAGTAATTTGATAATTTCAGAATATTATAGGACTATTTTTAATATTTAATTTTAAAGTAAAAAGTACATGTTTGCTTACGCATAGGAATGCAGCACTATATATAGCGACGGAGGTGTGTCCAGATGGAAAAGATTTCCTATTTTTACAGAATAAATTAAAAATGAATAGTACCACATTTAAGGAAAGCATCAATGCAAAGTGAAACATACATACAAAATCTGTACCAAAATACTTAAACCAAAGGTTTGTTTAATAGTAGCCTTAGATAATAATGTTAATAAGAGAAGTTAAATGACAATCGAAAATGTGAAGACTAACCAAAACGACCAAGTTAGTTAGATTTTGAACAGCAGCTATGGACTGTTGTATGAAACAACAACAAAAAGTGGTTTTATATCTAATAGTAACAATTCATTGGTTATCTAATGACCTTATGTATAATGTATTCTCAGCTGCCAACTTCTTTGCAGGCATATTATCTAGGTTAGACTTAGTTAAATTACTGAGAATTTATCAATTATAATTAGAAATAATGATCCATAAGCTTAAATATGTCTAGCAGCAGTGGGTACATAGCACAACTTTTCCGTAAGCATCTATTACTTTACCACAGTGTAAACCAGTACAATTTATATATCAAACTGTTTCATCTTGTCATCTAAACACCATTAATACAACCACATGGATAATCATTTGAAATGCTGACAGCCTGAATTAATGAATTAAGTGTGCATTCAATAATCAACTTGGAGGAATAGGACGCAGAAAGTGAATCCTAGATTATCCGGCGCCACTTATCTTTTATACAAATAAATGATGAAATATTTGTGGAGTTAGGATGCTTAAATTTTGGCGTGGAAACATGTGATTTGGTGATTTTATCAGTAATAACCTCACAGATAACTACCAGTTATGTACTATATATATATATATATATACATATTTCTACCAAAAGCGTAATAATCCCTTTACTTATCCTAATATCGGCCTTCAGAAGTAGCTTCTCCCTTCACCTGACGTTCGGCACCGACAAGAAAGTCACAGTCTTTGACTGTGATACAGGAAGACCACTACTAGGTAGCATGAAAAAATTTTGACCTCTTGTTACCTGTTTACTTTTAGCAAGTTATGATAGCCAATACATTTAGCTAATGACTTATAATCTAGCTGAAGATCATTGGATTATACTACAGAAAATCATATCAGTGATTCGATGCAGAATCCGCACAATCACAACAAAAGACAGAAAGGTTCTGAGATAATTAAAACAATGAAGGATAATAATACATAGAGTCGGTGACAGCTGTTCCAGTTAAAAAAGGTTTTGAGAATTTATGAATAGTTCCTGTTGAATGTAGCCTTGCCGAAGTCATTTTTTCAGTGTCTCAAAAGGGCCGCTTACAAGCTGAGCTCCTGAATACTTCTGTTTGGTAGCATTTCATCAGTAGCTTTTGTTTTCTCACAGAACGACGTAAAAATAAAATTTTCTTACGCATATTACTGCACTATCTAACTTTTCTAATCATTAATACTAACCTCTACCCTTTTCCTCTTGAATAAATTGTCTGTATTTTGCTAAGATGTTTTAAAATACCGCAAAACTTAATTTGATACAACGTGTAAGACTGGTCAACGTGGGATCAAACATCATGAACAATGCTTAAAATTGTATTTTCGACATAAATGCTAGGTGTAAAACTGGATTAAATTAACAAAATATTAAATCAAAGTCAAGAGTATGAGATACCCAATACTAAATCTGCAGTGGGATAAGCGAATTTTATTTACTCGCCTATTGTTACTTTCCATACTTTCAGCCTAATATTGGTCAAATTTTTCTTCTTTGAATTCGTCGAAAGTAGCTTATGTCCAATGAAAAATTTGATTTTCAAAGCAGAAAGAAGCCAATCAGTAATAAGACTATACACCGTTAAAATCGCTAAAATCCTCATGAAACTAATAACTAAAACTTCTAGTAAGTATGGTGAGCATGAAGCCTCACTACATACATATATATCTGGAAGTGAGCCAGTAATACATTTGAATAGTTGGAGGTTCAAAAAAGCAAAAAAAAAGTAACCTACTCCAATGAATCTCAGTTCTTTTGTGGCAATACAATACCCCACTACTTTTTGTATGAATCTGTGGGTTTATTCTATTGGTTTTAAGAACCATTTTTCAAAAAGAAAGGTATGTAAGTGATTTATTTGGACTGTGGTTTAAATTATAAATAAAGAAAATGTTGAACCTCAAAGCTTTGCTAAGTAAGAAATCAACTTACCTCAGTGGTCTAGGATTACTATTTACACAGGAGTATTGCGCTACAAAACCTAAAGTCGTATTTACAAGATCATATGGTTGGCAAGCGTCAATGAAGTTTGGACGCAGGCGACCAAAAGCAACCTTTCCAACATCCGTAAGGCTGATAGTAGCAAAATAACCAAAAAAGGCAACGATGAGAGAATCATATATTGGGTACAATATCTGCAAAAAGAAGAAATTCATAATGATTATTGAAATGAAATTACCACAGGAATCTTTCTACGAGTTGTCTTTAAAGTTTTAGCACCGAAAGCCAGTTCACCTATGACTATCTGGAAATATAAACAAGTTGATTATGAGATATGAGCGACGAAATACCGTAATGACTATAAGTAATGAAGATACTATATAAAGAACATAACTTGGAATGGTGGATGATTTATAAGGTTTCTTTATTGACTCATCTTGAGGAAAATATCCCCAATGATATGGTTCAATATTCTGTAACACACTATTGATGACGATTACTGCAAATAAAAAAATTAATAGATGCATTTATGATAGTTACATCCAAGAAGGATCACTAAGTCAGATACTACTCTTATTATTCCATAAATGACTGGTTTCATGATTCACAGAATACCGAGAAGCAGCAGAAATGTGACCCGCTATTGCCTGAGGAAACAGCGATCTAAAAACAAAAGATGCACAACTGTTTTAGCCTGTAGAGAATATAAAGTTCAAATTATCTGAAACATTAAAAGCCTTACCGTACATATTTAGAGAAAACATGATTTGCTGCTCTTCTAATGAACTTTCGTAAGTACTGTAGTGCAGCTGAGTTACGGCAGTGAATCCACACCTATATTTGAATCCTTAACTTTTGGCAGAATCAAGTACAACTACATTTCTACAGTACACGGCAAACAAACATGCCGAAGATCATATAATAGACAATAAAAAGTCCCGAAGACAAAATAAACCTGTTTGGCAAATACAATGGTAGCACGCATAATATATTTATATGTTCTAACCCGAAAACCACATGGGTTTCTTGATCGTGTTTCTGCCTTCATCGATATTCACCTGACCCTAGAGAGACAAGTGAATGCTGGTATCTTCAAACTTTGGTTGTCTTATTAAAGCAGAGGAATCACAGTATCCGACAAAACCCCACGAGTGGTAAAAATACTGCCTGAATTTGAAAAATATTGCATAACTTATAAAGGAGGCAACATAATCAATTGCTTCTAACAGGCTGGGAGTAATGCATTGTTTTTTTATCCCATGGTTACTACAAAAAGTAGAGTCTACCACAGCCTGCCTTTTCGGAACTACAACGACAGAAGTGTAGCATTAAGAGCAGTTTCAGGTTAAATAGGTAAATAAGTCCAATAAACCATGGACTCTGATGTCCAGCTGTTAATACACTGTAATCACTGACCTTCCTCGAGCTTAATTTGTAGAGTTGTGATGATTTACACTATTACGCAATGACGCTCAGTTGGTTTTAATAATATCTGCCTGGAGCTATAGATATGAGAATACAACAGTTCAAATTAGTCCATGACTCAGACATCTCAGCACAATATTTGTCTGCCATTTAGTTTTCTTTCGCATTTCAATGCTTTCCTCTTAACTGTATGCTCCATGCCCGGAACAGTTATACAAAGCACCAATTACTATTTACAGTCAAATTTTGATTAAGATGTCTTCTCTGAGCTGGTTCATTCATTTGCAAAGCCTTCAGTGTCCTTCCAGACAGCATCTTCAGCGTAGGTTTTAGTATCAAATGAACTTATTTGAATTCTACAATTTAGTTCTTTGCTATTTGTAAGCATCCCAATGTTAATTTATGTTTAGATCAGTAATAGTAGGTAAAGGAATTCTGCAAAACACTTTAGGATGTTTCAAGTCAACACTTACTGACATCAAACTGTCAATAACTACTAAACAGCAAATCGACATTTGGCTCTCACAAATACACTTATAGTTTAAGTGGTAGTGACATTAATTTTACCTGTGAAAACAGCCATTAGTGATGTACTTGACCAATACCTCTGCACCAATTGATAACCTACAGGTAGTTCCTGACATAAAATGAAGTTCTCAACTTACAAAGAAGAATGGTGTAAGTAGCACCTTTATATGCCGAACTGTTGCAACCACAAAAGTTACAAGACAACAGTTGACACTGTGATATCAATGACCGCCTGGAATAATATGTAATCCGAACCATGACGTATTTTAACTGATCATAAGTTTTTAGAAATTCGTGTCTGCTTTCGAATGACCAGGATTAATCATGGAATGCGTTAGTTTGTGTTCTTAGTTTTGTTCATTCAGGACTTCATAGAAAGAATTCTAAATGTTTTCTTCATAATTCTCCAAGAAGCAAGAAAACGAAAATTAAAGTACTGATATGTATGAGTACGTCCAAGCACTGAAGTCAAAAAATAATATTCCCGTTCATGGCCGGGAAAAAGGAAACTAGCCCACTGACATCTGGCCCAATGTTGAGCATAACGTCGATGAAGCTTATATACATTACCTACATCGATGTAGGTAATAAAAAATAAAAATACAGAACATATTATGTCTGATATTGACAGTTTAACCTATTTTCCAGTTCCACTTCACTTTGGAAACAGTTGGACGGAACGAAATCATTTCCACAATGTTACCTACAAACTATTAGTTGCGGAAGATTTTAGGCAATTTGATATCATCCTCTTTCAAAAAAAATACCTGCAACCTAAACGCTAGAGAAAAAAGTAAAATTCTATGTCTGTGATAACACATAAAATTCAGAATAATACAAAAACTGTGTCTGTGAAAATCCTACAAAGTTAACACTTACCTCGGAAAATGTGACAGCTTTAAGTCATGCGCGGTCAAACATTGGAGTCTGAAACAAAAAGCTGTTGCATTTAAACAAACTAAATCCTCTAAGTTTCCTTGTCAGAGAAACCCTTGTAAGAAAGCTTTCTGGGGGGACTGGTTATGATTTTTTCAAATTCCGATGCACACCTGCAATTTTATACAGTGTTATACGTATTAAAATCCGGACCGTATTCATATGGCGTTATAAATACAAACTTCAACAGAAAATGTTGGGATTTTTGGTATGTACCACCAAGAGTACTCTGAAACTTTGAATGATGAGACAATAAATCCTTATCTAGTCTCCTTCAAGTTTATCTTTATTCAGTAATCTATTCCCATAATTTTTTTAAATCACACCTTCGAAACACAGTATTGTGTGGCGTGTGATACAGACAGACTTATATTTCAAGCAGATATGGTTCTGAAGTCCCCCACTAACCAAAAATGTTCCAAAGTAAGATAATCTAATTTTGTTGTTCTTACTAAAAATTATATCAGAAAGGGGCAGATAACGGACTGAAAATATAAATTGATGTGCAGTAAAAACTGGAGCACTTGTGCACGACACTAATGTATCACTAAATAAACCATTATTTACCCTCTACCCCACTGTGAGCCGATGTTCATATTCGAGTTTGCAGTCCTATGGTTTTTGGTCACATAATTTAATGAAGAAGAATGCTGCCCTCAATAGCGACATGTGTGAACTCTAATCAGAAAAGATGACGGTTTTCTATCTATTTGTGCCCCTATTTTTACTAGGTTGAATACTATGGAAATTGACAGTATCTTCGACCTATTCTAGATGAATTTTTCAGTTTTACTTCGCTAAGCTCGACACTACATATTTCCAGTTATTCCATAAGGTCAATCTCCTTCAACCATTGATATATATCAAGGTCTCAGTACAATAGATCAACTTCCGGGATTAGAAATGTCCTAAATTATGAATAATAAATGACATTTGAAACGTCACCCAGCATGCAATTTCGTTTAGCTGTTAAATCAGTATATAATATGGTTTTCAAACTTTCAAACCTAAATAAATATGAATTAGTATATCTAAAAATTCCAACAGCTGAGAAATTTTGGCGTTAACTACGACTTTAAAATTAGATTTCGAAATCTAGTAACATACAGTGCCTAAGCACATCACCCTTGACGACTTCTATCACAGTATCATTTTGATATTTTACTGCAAGCTAATTTTAGCCAGTTTCATTCTAGGCTGACCTTAGTCATAATTTCCGACATAAGTGCAAGCTACTAAAGGGAAGAGACATGGTCGGAGTCTTTAGTTGACTCAGCGGCGCACCTCCGGAAATTGTTCTCAGCGGTGCTGACGGAATTTCATCAAAAGGTTAATTTGTGAAGTAAGCATTGTTGGAATTTTTAGGCGGTCTGTGAAATGCAGGAAATTTCACTTATAAAACGATTATTTTGTGATTAGATGTAAATGCCAGATGTCTTTATTTGTAAAAGCGATGGTAAAGAATGAGATCCGCAGGCCACATATTTCAAGTACTTCCTCGAATACTTCTCCATAGTTTGATTATTAGCTGTGAATATTCGACTTACTTTTGTAGATCTACTAATCCCATGATTTTACGGCAGTGAGGACGAGAATTTCATTTTATGACTCGAAATTTTAGGGCGAATCTCATATTTTCTTAAGTAATTTCCATTCACCGGAAGCCACAGAACATGTTTATGACCGTTCATTGCAGTCTTGGGGAACAGCTATTTATCATACTGCTACAAGAGTGATGCAACTGTGGGGCGCATGCAAAATATGTACTGAACAATATACATACAACGTAATTTACATGTAATATATAGTGTGATTGATAAATGCAAAGTTTAGGCCGTACAGAACAAAATTCCAGTGGTAGAATAAATAGCAAAGAACTGCATAGAGCTTTAACGAACATATCTTATCTGCTGCAGTTCCACTTGGGCGATTATATGGCATACCCCCTATTTGAACTGGCGTCTACAGCTTAACCTTGATGGCATTTGCGCGGTTGGGGCTAGTTGTCGGGAGCCTCTATTCGTCCGTAGGTCATTTGATCACCTGATGTCTACAGGCTATATTTACTGAAAAAACCTTGAATTTAGGTAATTATTCGTTGTCTTACACACCTAGTCTTGTATTCCCGCTAAAATTTGATGGAATAATGCGTTTTTAGCGTAAATAGCAGGCCGGTTCCCGGGGAATCGGCCAACTAGCTCGTAGGATAACTCCTCAACCGACAGCCCACATCACGTCAACCACCCCCCAATACGAGGACGTGGTGAGACTGACTACCAGTTGCCTGTACAGTAATGTGAGAGGTCTCAGAGGCAAAATAGCTGAACTTAGATACCTACAATCACAGCTGAACTCCAAAATCATAATACTGACGGAAACCTGGCTAACCCCTACGGTGGCAGACAGCGAAGTCAGTATAAATGATATGGTCCTAGTCAGGCGAGATAGGGATCTGAAAGAAGGAGGTGGAGTCGCCATATACGTCGACAAACAGCTCAGATGTGTCCAGGCAATGGACCCTCCTCTCATTGAGCTCCCTGACTCCATATGGTGCCATTTCACCGTTGGGTACTGTAAGTATTTAGTGGGCAGCATTTACAGATCACCTTCATGTGGAGCAGACCACAACCAGGTACTGCTGAATACAATTTCAGCGACACAAGACATGGGTTATGATCAAATTGTCATAGCTGGCGACTTCAATGCCCCATCTCTTAACTTGATGACGTGATGTGCCCAGGACAGATTTGATCGAAATCTGCTGCATACCATCAGGGAGGCCGGATTCACCGAAAATGTCAGAATGGATACTAGATGGGGCCCAGATGGGAAGTCTTCTAGACTGGATTACGTGCTCACTAGTGACCAGCTACTAGTGGAAAACGTTCAGATCACGACTTTCATAAGTAGTAGTGACCACGGGGTCATAACATTCGACATAGTCCTCCCCGAGCGTTTACAGTGGGACAATACACAGCCCTATCTGTGTTATAACAAAGCCAATTACACCGAAATGCGAAGACTTTTGTCTGAAGCAAATTGGCCAAAACATTGGACAGAGCTTACAGTAGAAGAACACTGGGGAGTGGTAAAGGAGATCATTCACCAGGCGGTCTCAGACACTGTTCCTTTAGTCACACCAAAAGCTAGGAAGCAACGTTCATGGCTAAAAAGGGGGACATAATGCCTTCTGCAGGCGAAGCGAAAAGCCTGGTTTGCGTGGCGAGTATCGAAGAGTCAACCCGAACATGAGGTGTACCTTGAACTCAGGAATCGATGTAACATACGAGTCCGGAGTGATAGAAGGACATTTCAGAGAAACCTCGCCAATAAGCTTCTCGTGAACCCCAAAAGCATATACAGGTTTATGTCTGAAAGAAGACCTACCAACCAGGGAGCTTGCAATCTAGTGGGTTCTGATGGGAAATCTCTTACTAGTCTTGAAATGGCGGAGACATTCAGTCTAGCTTTTCACAGGCAACTGAACAGTAACGAGGATTTTACCCCCACGAAACATCAAGATTACAATGCAAAATCAACGTGCGAAAACCTACTGGGTACATTTCAAATTACCCCGGCTATGGTACTCGCAAAATTGGGAAAGTCGGCTTAGGGAAAGTCTGCAGGTTGCGATGACATAAGACCATCCGTCCTGAAGCAGTGTTCAGAAAGTCTCTGCCAACCCCTAAGTGATCTGTTTCAACACTCCTTTGATGTAGGGAAACTTCCAAGTTGAAATGAATGACATATTATTCATAAGAGTGTACGGGAAGACTGAATAATATTGATATGGTCTATTTCCTTGACAGTTTTATATATCTTAGTATCATTCTAGTGGTAAATATATCCCCTGTGCGTACGAAGAGTTCTATAGAAATTTGATGACAATTTATTATGTCTTGGTTTATGAACATCTGTTACTTTTCTGAGTACGAAGAGCAAGACTGTTGGCCATGTGTTTCACTACATTTGTTGGAATTAATTTTTAGCCTGTGACACTACAACTACTCAGCCAATTTGTCTAAATCAATTTATACCACCACTAATCTGTAATCCTTACAACTGATGATCCTGGAACTTACGATAGCTCACAAAACGGATACAGGGAACAGTAGTGGTACTAAAATCATACCTTGCGGAAACCAATGGCGACTAGCTTGCTCAATTATTCCCAACATCTAACTTCTCTTATGCACACTGGCATCTACACCGAAGCTAGTGGTCCATAGAATGGATGCTCCCAATCGATGTAACGAAATGTGCAACCATGCACATCGGACACACAAGCATCAGCTCCTACGAACTAGAGAGAATAACACTCCCATCAGTTCAGACTCATTTGGACTTAGGTGTCGTAGTTAGTAACGACTTAAAAACTACAGCACACTGTCGCGCCATGGCTGCAAGTAGTTTCAAATGCTTATGGGCAATTCGCAGAGCCTTTGCTAGAATCACCTGAGATATGTTTACCTCCTTACATACATCTCTAGTGAGGTGAAGACTGGAAAACTGTATCCAGGCAGCCAGTCCTCGTCTTAAAGGGGACTCACATATCCTAAAAAGGGTTCAAAGGAAGGCAACACGTATGATTCTCGGTATGACTACTTCACCATACAAGGAAAGACTAGACAGTTTAAATCTCTTCTCCTTGTCGTACCGTAGGCTATATATATATATATATATATATATTGACGTGGCGTGACTGGACTGTGCTTGTCGAAAGCGGTTGTCAGCAACATTATGCGTGAATGTATCAGTCTTCATGTTGGTCAAGCTGGTGTGCAGATAGGCGAATCGTGTTGGGAGTTGTACTACCTTGAGCACGGGATTGAACCAGATGGGCGAATCTCGAGTGGGTCGAATGGCAAGTGAATGGAAAGGAGCCATCCTATCCCCCATCTTCAAGGGTGGTGAACGGCAGAACGCGACCAGTTACAGACCAGTTGCACTACTCCCAGTGATATCGAAGACATTGGAAAGTCTCATTGACGACCACATGAGAAAATACTTCGACGGGACTAACCTACTCCATGAAACACAGCACGGTTTCAGGAGGGAAAGTTCCTGTGTGACGAATCTCCTACTAGCTTGGAACGATTGGACACTATCCTGGGATGTAAAGGTACCAGTCCATGTGATCTTTCTCGACTTTACGAAAGCAT